GGCTCCCATGAACTCTCATCTTGCCCCTTGGTCAGATTCCAGGAACTCCAACCTTCTCCCTTGCTGTGATGAAAGCAACCTTTTCTGCACCCCGTGCATCCCCCAAGCTCCAGGAATATCCACGAGCTCCCTATGTCATCTCCCAGAGCCCCAGGCTCTGGCCTTGAAGAGAGCAGTGCCTGTTCTCCCTTAGGTGGACCATGATGCTGACAGATGCACCCTGGCAATCTCGTTGTGAGTCTTCCTTACAGAAAATCATGTGCTTCCTTGAGGTGGACAGTGGCTTGGGAAAACACTCGAAACCATTCTCCAAAGATTTCTTGTGCTCTGCATTTTGGAAATGGGGGCAGAGGGTATCTGACGTTTGGGACCTTGGTTTCAAGAAAGATCGAAGAGACTCACTTTGACACCCTGTTATAGGTCATGGCCACTTTAACTAGCTGAGGGTCATTCTACTAACCCTTACTCTGCCTTTTTTGGTCATCCAGGCTCCAGGGCAGGGATGGTTGGGCCCAGCGTCATCATTTTTAGTGACAAGAGAAGTTGCATTTCTGTGTATGCTTTTTCCAAGGCGGGGCTAGCGTTTCTTTCCTACTGGCCATTCTTCTCACATAGGTGCTACTCTGTCACCTCAGATATCACACCCACCATCTGCTGCCTGGCCAATCCCAGCTGAGCTTCTCCGGGTCCTAGGAGTGGACAGTTAGGATTCCAGATTTCTTTACCTTTCATTCTCTTTCACCCCAACCCCCAACCAAATTGTCACTTATCTATTGTTCAGAGAGTTAGCGTATGGTTTTGTGCTCAATTTTCATATTTAAGAGAATCTTGGGAGTATATTCATTATTGGTCTAATTTGCTGTCTTTTGCCGTGATAAACGCCATGACCAAAAGCAGGCAAACGTTTATTTGGGTTATACGTAAGCCAGATTACAAAGCATCACTGAAGGAGGTCAAAGCAAGCATTCAATCCGGGCAGGAACCTGGAGGCAGAAAATGATGCAGAGACCACGGAGGATGCTGATTACTGGCTCACTGTCCACGGACGGCTTGCCTCACTTTCTTACCCAACGCAGGACCACCTGCCCAGTGATGGTGCCACCCACAGTGGACGAGGCCCTCTCGCCATCATTAACTAAGAAAATACCCAAGGACTTGCCTAAAGAGCACTTTGATGGAAGTATTTTCTCAATAGAGCTTCCCCCTTTCCAAATGACTCTAGCTTGTGTCAAGTTGACAGCAAACCAACTAACCAGCAACTAACCAGTACAATTATATTCATTTAAGAATTTAAAAACTATTTGGAGGAAATGGAAAGTATCAGTATAACTTAAAAGTTGTCACTGGTTTCTTTCTTTCTTTTTTTTTTTTTTTTTGGTTTTTTGAGACAGGGTTTCTTTGTAGCTTTGGAGCCTGTCCTGGAACTAGCTCTTGTCGACCAGGCTGGCCTCAAACTCACAAAGATCCGCCTGCCTCTGCCTCCCGAGTGCTGGGATTAAAGGTGTGCACCACCACCACCTACGACTCAAAAATCTTGAAAGGGGAGCAAATGTATACTTATAATGTAAGGCAGGTAGTGTCGTGCAAATGGGGGTCCTCCAGGAGGGAGGGAACTAGACTGATGCATTCTTTTCCATCGAGTAGCACAGCAGAATGGTTGTGGCTAAATGACCCAGGGAGAAACACAAACAACCTTCCTGCTCCAACCTGATTCCAAGACGGGCCAACAGAAGCCGCTGGTCTCTAAATCACTGGCAGTCCAGGTGTGAAGGAGCGGCAGTGGGATAGGGTGTAGCCAGATGACTCTATCGGGAGTCACTTAGACAGCCGAGTAGAAAAATAACCTATTTGACCCCTTCCTCCAAATAAAATGACAGAACCTCTTTAAAAAGACAACAGATCCTGAGTGTATGGGCCCCAAATCATAATGTGTAATAGCATATATAGCATGTGTCTATGGAATGACCTCAGGATGTTGGCCAGGAGCCAGGCACAGGATGACTTTCTGGTACCAGAGTTCAGGGTTAGATGTGAATATAGAAAATAGGTTTCATAAAGTTACAGAATGGGCTGGATTTGTTTGGAATGGAGGTGTGTGTGTGTGTGTGTGTGTGTGTGTGTGTGTGTGCTCGCGCGTGCGTGCAGTGGTGCCTCTATGAATAAGAGTAAACATTTCTTATTGTGACAAGACAACTGACCAAAGCAGTTTAAGAAAGGGTGGGTTTTCTTTGACCCAGGCTTCGAGGGGACCAGACATCATGTGGGGATGGTGTAGTGGTGAGGATGGCTGTAGGTGCAACAGCACATTGTGTCTGTCTGCAGTGAGGAGGAGGAGGAGGAGGAGGAGGAGGAGGAGGAGGAGAGAGGAGAAGCCGGTATTCAGCACTCCTCCCTTTATTCAGTCTGGAATCCCTTGGCTCAGAGTTGTGTTTCCAAAGGAATTATAAACCCGGTGACTTGATAAATGCAGATTAATTCTTGGGGGTGAGTCAGAAAGGTTTCTCAAGGAGGAGGAGCAATGGCTTCTCCCAGATAGGCCATTCTCTCCTCTCTGTGTTCTTGACAATTCCAAACCAATTAAATGGCCAGTCTGAGATCAGAGGGCTGTCACATGAGACAGTATACACATAGAACAGTGGCAAATGCGGGCTTTTGTGACTTTGAGTGTCTCCTCCAGTTTCTGATTCCTAGGGGCCACTCTTGTTTCTTCTTGATCCCATTGTACAAGGAAGTGAAAGTCTGTCAAACGCTAAAGCAATAGCTCAGCCTTCCAAGGTCTCTTCTGCTAAGTCCCACCCACTCCAACCTGATTACAAACCATATCCTGGGTCAGGTCTGTCACTTTGACAGGATTACTGAGTCATCCTCACACCTTCCTGCTACATCCCCAGTGACTGCTCTCTGAAGGTTTGTAGGTTAGCCCTTATCAACAACAGCTCATTCTTCTAATGGGTTACTCTCCAAAGACCTAAGCTCATCCGTGGACGCTGAAACAGCAAAAATTTGCCATGCCTGGCTTATACTCTCAGCTCCTTACAAAGGTTGTTGACTGAATTCTGGCAGACCTCTAAAGAGGCTTTAGGTAGGTCAGATGGTTTTGCGTTATGCAAGGTTGGGTCCTTCTGGGAATCATATAGACACATTTCACTTATTGGTTAAAATCCCAGTTAGAAAGGGGATGCTAGTATGGGGAAGGAGCTATGCTGATATGGTTGCTGTGTTCTTGAGTGACTTTTGCAGTGTCCGCCTTCTAGGGGTTGAATCCAGGGCCCCACACAAACTTGCACCTCCAGGCCCTACCTTTCCTCTTAAAAACAAAAATCTCCCAGACAAATTTCATAACCTCAGCCCTACTGAAATGTCCCCTGCGGGTTAGAGGTATTGCTTAGTCACTTGTCAAGAGCAGCTTAGGATTCAGGAGCTCTGGTGGAAAACAATGTTAGGGCCCTGACCAAAGTGCTTGAGGTTTTTGTTATTTGACTCTTTTCCCCCTCCCTCCACCCCAGTTTTAAGTGAAGTAAATATACTTATAGTTTATTATAACCATATCTACTAATTTGGATTTCTCATTAAGAAAGACAAATAAATGCGTCCAATAGGGTTGTCTGGCTGGAGAAGTGTCGTGAGAAGTCATCCGCTGACTTCTTTGAACTCACAGTCATGTGCGTAAATTCATTTCCAAGTTCTCAAGGAAAGGGTCTCTCTTTTCTGATTTTTCCACCTTTTTCCCACTCTCCTCATTCTTTCAAGAAACCTTCCCAAGTCTCCTGAAAAGCGCCCATCTTCCTGCGTGCCTACACAAACCTAAGATACATCCTCGGTCCCAATACACACCCCGTTTCTGCTTATACTTTTACTAGGAAATGTTGGTGAGAGAATAATACAGTAAGTACAGGACCTAGGATGGCTCAGTTTGCAGGAGCTTGCTCTCTTGGCAGTACGCACACTTGGAGCCCACGGCCTTTCTCCCAGTCTTCAAAAATCAAAGACTTCCCTGGTTTCTTTTGGAGATTTCCCTCTGATCACCACGTAGGAAATGGGAAACTGGCAGGGCAGAAACATCTCACAGGTGGAAAAGACCAAAGAGCTCTCTGCTTGCCTATGTGGGACTTTAGAACCACCACTTCCCGCAGTTGGTGTTATCGTCCTAGAACTCTGGAGCCTTAGAAGGCAGGCAAATCCAGTGACTTGGGGTCTGCTTGTCAACTCTCAACCCTAAGATCACACCAGGGAACCCACAGTGATGTTGGGTTATTTATAGAGAGCTGGCAGAGCAGGCCAGAAGACTCCAAGGCCCTACTCTCTAGCATGCGCAGCACCTCAACCATAAACCCGGTTGAGGAAAAGACACCGGCAGGACTCAGAAGTCAAGTTCAGCCACGCTTCACCAAAATGAGCACACTGCCAAGGCAGGCAAACAGCACTGCGGTCGGAGTCCTGGGAATTATTCCCACCGACCGGAGGGAGCCACGCACCTGGGGCAGGGACTCATAGCAGTACCCGGGAGCGGCGCCGCACGACCCCGGTCCCGGCTAAGCGCTGAACCCCGGACCCCGCGCTCTGCCCTGGCTCTCCGGGAAAAGTGCAGATGAGAGGACGCTCGCGCGAAGGCACACTCTGGGCTCAATTAGCTGACCCCGGCCACTATTCAACTCCGCGCAAACTGAGCCTTTCCGCTCCGAGTCCCACTTAGCTACTCGCCACCAGGCAGTCACAAAAACAAGTCTCTGACCCGCGGAAAGAGGAGGCAGGGCTGGGCGAGTGCCGGAGGAGCGCAGCCCGGGAGAAAGGGGCGGGCCGGGGTCAAGGCAGAGGCTGTGGTTGCGCCTCCCCATTGGCCAGGACGCGGTGGGCAGGCAGCCCGAGGGCGGGGGCGGAGCTTGCATGGCGCCCCGCCCAGGATCCGCCCCCGGCCCCACCCCCGGCCCACTGTCGGACTCCCGCGCCCCTCGCTCCCTCCCGCGGGCGGGCCGTCCGAGTTTTTAAAGTGGGCTGGCAGCTGAGGAAGCAGGACATTCGAGAGCGGCCGGTGCACAGCTTCGGAGTCCCCAGCGTTCCGCTCCAGGTCTCCTGAGGCGGCCGTACAATCCTCGGCAGTGTCCTGAGACTGTATGGTCATCTCAGCGGCCGCACTCGCCTGGCCCCGGATTTCTTCTAACTCGCTCTTTTCGAACCACTCTTTTTTTGTTTGTTGGTTGGTTGGTTTTGTTTTGTGAAATCCCAGAAAACTGACTCCTGTTCGCGGATAAACGGAACTTCAGGTCCCTTGTCGCTGCTCCCTTTTGGCGTCTTACAACCTCCTCCCACTCCTTTCCCCGGCCCCGCCTCCTCCTGCAGGTTCCTCCCTGTCACCCCTCTCCTCCCTCCTCCTCCTCCTCCGCACCTAGCCAGCCGTCCGCAAACTTCCACCTGATTGTGCGGGACACTCGGACCTGCGAGCACTAAAGACCTTTCACACCTGCTGGGGCGACAGAGAGCCGCCGAGGGCCACCGCAAAGGCAGCGGCTGCAGCCCCTAGGAACCCAGGTGCTCCGGGTCTCGGAGGAACACGGCGACAATGACAGCTGACAAGGAGAAGAAAAGGTAAGCGGGCGTCGGAGCCGGCGACCAACTCGGTCCCGGACAGTGGCGGAACTGCGCGAGGCGGGCGCCACCCGGGGCACTTTTGCAAGAGGGGCGCGAGAGGTCTGGGAAGAAGGAGGACCGCTCTTGGGGTGCGGGTGAGAGAGTGAGCAGGTGCGGGCTTTAGGTACGCGTAGCTGTGGCTTCGCAAAATTGAGTCGCGAATCCAGTAGTTCAAGACCTTGAGACACAGAGAGATGACCCTGGAGGTCAGGGGTGCTTCCGCGGCGCCTTCCAAAGTCTGTAGTCCCCAGAGCACCAAGTTTCCCCCAGCCAGTGGTTTGAAATGTTTCTGGACTGATACCTTCGTCTTTCTGTTGGATTTATCTGTTGGAGCAGCAGACACGCTTTTCTTTTCAAACTAAGACCCTCCAGGTCTTTCGAGAGCGCTTCTATGCGGGCTGTACGCCCCCAAACCAGCAAGGGACAGAGTGCAAAGCGCAACTCGGGGGCGCGCCCTGGCCTGAGGAGCCAGAACATGGCCAACTGTCCTGCTCCAGAAGGCACTCAAGTTTTAGGATACCCCCCCCCCCTTTCGCTCTCCCTACATCTAAACTCCACCAGAGAGTGTGGGTAGTGACCTGGATTGCCCTGCGGGGGCAGGTGTTTTAATGTGCAGAGAGGACGGCGACACCGGGCCTCTCCGAGTGTCTGAAGAAGACAGAAAAGGGCAGCCACGAAGGCTTGCCCTTGCGAACCCTTCCGCACTGGGTGAGAGGCAACTCCGGCTAACTCGCGCTGCCCTGAGTCTCCTTCAATCCGCCCCGGATCTGTCGACACCGGGCTCTCTCAGAACCTGGGTGGAAGCGCACTATGCGGACACGCAGACCTGAGTACACGCTCGCCTCCTGCAAAAGTTTGTGGCTGATCACCTGGCCCTTTGCTCCTGTTTCGACCGGTGCGAGCCTTGTGCTAGAGCGTCCAGCTCTGCGCTCCGAGACTTGGCTAGGGTGACCGGAATCGAACGCGTGACGGCGGAGTGGCGCGAGCCATGGGAGACCCACAGCCAGTCTGGTAAAGGACTGCGCTGAAGGCTCAGACCCCGAGCAGATTGGCTTTTGTTTGGACTTGCACGTAGGGACCCAAGCCAGGAACAGTGTATCCTCTGGCCGAAAGTGCCGGCTCCCACCTCAGGGCACCGATAAGGATTTGATAAACGCGAGCAAATCGCACCCGTCCTGGCGGGGCGCCCGCACCCTGCACTGGCTGATCTCTGGGTGACGGGAGTGGGGGTGGTGTAGAGTCCGGTTCTATATTTCCCATTGTCACCCACCATACAGCTCTGGGGTGCTGTGTCCTTTGAGGGTAGAGAAGTAAGGGAAAAGATTTAAGCTGTAAAGCCAATCAGAATGCAATCATAAACTATCAACACCAGGGGAATTTGTTAAACATTTTATTACTCTGGTGCCTATGGGTGATTGTCGAATTTGCAGAGAAGAGACCTGGTGGTGATCAGTGAGAAGTGTCATCTTGCTCTTAGCTCTACCAATCACTGGGAGAAACGGGGTTGAGTGGGCAAAGCTATTTCCATACCGGCTTTCACAGCCTCCTTTACAGAGAGTTGTTGAAGAGTATGGGTGTCTCAATAGGAGCAAAGTTGCATAATGACACAAAAATTATCGATGAGTGTGGCCACTTTAAGAACCAGTGAACTGCAGCCCGTGAACCCCCTAGGAGGTCGCCATAGGTAGTGCAGTGCCCTAGTGGTAGCTCGGCAGGGTGTGTGTGTGTGTGTGTGTGTGTGTGTGTGTGTGTGCGTGTGTGTGAAGGAAAGGCAGGGCAAGTCTGTGGAAGTCCCTCAAGGCCCAATTCCTGATAGGATAATAGTTTGGAGACTCCGGTCGTGTTGGCTAGCTTCTTGGAGCACTGAGATTAAAAACTGTGAAGCAGGGCCCTGAAAGCTGGTATCCCTTAAGTGGCTGCCCGAAGCTTCCCAAGCACCTCATGAAAACGTGAGCTGCAGGGTTTCCTGAACTGGTAATTCCATCCACTGGTCGTTCTGAAAGATTTGTATTTTTATTGGTTTAAGAGCTGTTTCTTCTCCAGAACATTCTTGAACATTTGCATGTTTTTCATTCTAGAAACAGCCCCTCAAGAAGCCAGAAGGATTGTTTTATTCCCAGACATCCCTGTGTGGGTGGATATGTTTATCCATAATAATTAAGTGCCAGGTTTTTAATTGTTGACTGATCAGGCTTTGGGGGAAGCATGATCAGCTCTCTTTAGATGAAGCAGAGGCGCATCAACCCGCCAAGGTCCCTGACTCTAGGAAGGGCTAAGTGTGGATGTTCTCAAGTGGAGGTTTGCAGAGCAGAACGTCCTCGGATGCCCAGGACTCCAAGCCCAGGCCTAAGCCAGACTCTGGTCCAGGGACTTTTCACGAGTGCTCTTTTGCTAGGGGCAAGGGTGCACAAGGAATTGGAGACACTTGGACCTTCACGTTTTTCAACTCTGGCTCAATTCTCAGTTCCATCGGAAAATGAAACCAAAGTCCATCGCTTGTCCAAGTCGAGGAAACATAAATCTGGATGGGTTTCTCAGGCTGAAACTTATTTTCTAATAAGAATTCCTTCAACACCCGTCAGCGTTTTTCACTGATTTACCGGAACTAGAGAATGCTCGAGAACTGGTCTATAACACTGTCAGTCCAGGCACTTAAACTGTGCTTCATACAGCTTTCACGGAAATTTAGAAGGTGTCATGACAGATCAAAGAGTTTGCTTGTTTGTTTGTTTATTTGGTTTTGCTTTATTATGGGTTAAAGATTATTTTGTAAACAAGCATGGAAGCCATAAAAAATATTTTCTCTTTCTGGGTAAGGTCCAGGAATGGTAAAACATCTCCCTCCTCACAAGGAAAATTGGTGCTGATAAGAAGCAGAATGTCAGCGCTTTACAGCCCGTAGTTAGTATGTGGCCAGCAGAGCCCCCAGCCCTGATGCGCTTCTAGCCACTGAGGATTTCCAAGGAGCTAGTGGAGATCCCCCATCACCACCACCAGACCCCGGACCTTCAAAACAGGGGATTTACTTTCCTAGTTAATTGCAAGAGCCTTCCAGCTGTGGCCGAAAAATTGCCTACCAGTCAGTTAGCGCTGCTTTCTGTATCTACTAACTCTGGGAAATGTAAATCCAAGGCTTGATAGTTTTCCTTTATTTCCGGGAGAAACAAAACAAAACAGCAACAACAACAACAAAAAACTATTACTCTGGTAGACGTCACTGAGCAAAACCATGACAAGGCCCTCCTTAGTTCCTGCATGTAGCAAGTTGCTTTGTGAAGTGGAGAACATTCCACAGCTACCAGACTGTTGTGTGGCCCCGTTAGGCATTTTCACAGGGTGAAAGCTGTGAGATGAAAACAGCCTGCTTTATTTACCCCATAAATCAGTTTCTATGTCACCGCTTCTGTGTGTGCGTGCGCGCGTGCATGGTGATTTCTAGTATTCTAGGAATCTATGGTGTAAAGTGTTTAGAGATGAAAGGAACAAGCAAGCAATTCTTAATGCCCCCAGACGTGGACCTAATACCTTTGAAAGTCCTTGTGATTCTTTCAAAGTTTAGGCCTTTCCTCTTTGAGGCAGTCTTTCCTATTCAGCACTTCTCACTTATTTGCTTTTTTATTTTTTAGGATCTCCCTCAGTTCTGTCCTATATCAATATGATAGCTCCCTTTCCATTTTACCCCGAGGGAGCTTTCTTCATTTTATGTCCTGACCAAACTAAGGAAACTTTTGTAGTGCACAAACTACTGAACCTTTGCCCTGTTGCTGAGTCAGCAGCGCTTCCTCCCAAAACCTCCGTATTCTTTACCTGTAGTTTACACTGCAGCCCCGTGCTGTCGACCCTTGTGATGATATACATGCACGATATTGATCAGCAAGGGGCAGAGCGAGCACTCCCAGTCTGAAAAGAGATGCTTGAAAGCTAAGGAACGGGAAATAGGTTTCACACTGCCAATTGCTTGGTCTGTACTGGGAAGCAGAGAGAACCACACAAGAAGCCGTAGGTATCATCACCCATAATGGCTTTTCTCTTGTAGGGTTCAAATATTTGAAGCTAAAGAAAAGAAACTCCTGAGTGACATTTCACTTGCTAACAACACACATCATTATCTAGACACATTGACGTTAAGTGGGGGAATCTGGCTCACAGTGTTCCTGAAAGACACATAAAAAGATATAGATACTGATACTGGACACCAGCATATACTGGATCCCGGAGACAGCCCAGCAGTGGTAGAAGTTAGCACTTGGGGGTAGAGTAAGGAAACACACTGTGACGACGATGGAGGGAGGACTTGCAGGCCTCCACAGTGACAGCTAGAGGTTTCTGCTTCCAGTGAGGACAGCTGTAGAGTTGACTGTGATAAGTGCACAAAGGCTGGAAAGGGACTGGGCTCTTCCCCTGAGCTCTGTTAAACCGGCCTCCTGTAGTATTCAGTGTCCAAAATTCTACCAAGTGCATGTTTGCTTCTTTTGACTTTTTTATGTTCTTTTTAAGTTATTGTCGATCTCCCTTGAGGACTGAACCCAGAACTTTGTACATGCTGGGCAAGCATCCTCTGCCCCCATCCCTTGCTCAGCTCCTAGCAGCCTTTCAGAGGTGCTGTCATCTGGAAGAGGCAAGGCCTTCCTGGTTGGCTTGTTTAGCAGCCTAGAGCTGCCCTGAGTTTCAAGATCTTTCTGTGGAGGCTGCAGGCTGCCTGGGCCTACATTTCAGAGCTAGTGTCTTTCTTATCTTGGGAAGGGCATGAAAAGAAATTGACACTCACATTTTCCATTATTACCCACCATTTGGAGATTCTTTTGTATTCCAGAAATGGATGAGTTCTAGGGGAAGTGAACCTGCTGTGCGCGGATGGACAAGACAAAAAGCTGCACACTCAGTCTCCGGTGCCAGTCAGCCCTATCCTCAGAACTTTACATGGATTAACTTTCTTAATCCCTGTACCAGCCCAGTGA